TGTTAAACAAATATTTAAACAACTTTAATTATGTATATCTGTTCTCTTTTAACTCCCCTCAATTTCTGTGCTAAGTTATCAAAAAATATTATTTTGCTTTTAAGAAATGCTCACCTTTACTTTGTTCTCTTCAAAAGCTCTCCCCTTCATCCCTTTTAAGGCTGACCATTGGGTAGACTTACTTTAGCAAAGTCACCAACATATGTTATTAGTGGACTGAAACACTTTTCATACAATAATGGCCTGAACCACTTTTCATACAATCTTTAGTAAGTATATAATGAAAGTTGATTTTATAAATTAAAATAATAACTATGGATTATGCATAACTTTCTTCATTTTTTTGCCTTAACTAATACAATGCAAACCTAAGCATTTTTCATATCCAAATTATCCTTTTATACTAAGCCAGTTGTTTTCACAGTGTGAATGTTGGCTCAGTATAAATTGCAGAACCAATATGAATGCATAGTTAGCAAAAGTTATGCTGGGTATAGATAACATAATTAACACATATTCTCTGAGATATAAATAACTTTCCTTATCCTGATCATACATACTCCAATGCAAGTCCAAGCATATTTACCACACTATAGAGATTTAAAACTACATCATTTATTGTTGAAATTCCACAAATTCTGTATCATCTTTTCTTAACTTATCCTTTAACTTTTAAGAAATGGTCACTTATAATTTGTTTCCTGCATAAGCCCTTCCTTTCAAGTCTGGCCATTGGACAGACTTTCCTTAGCAAACCTACCTTCTAATGCTATGGTGAATTAAGTTAGAGCTTGAAAAGATACAATAGCTATAATATATTCACACAGTCCGTGTTATTGTTGTTCAGTCTATCTAGCTAGAATTTAACACACTGTAATTTCCAGTATTACATTTAAATATATCAAAATATAGTTCAATTATTTATAGTATTAGCTAGATTAATATATAACATTAAATTCTTTAACCCTGTATGCATGGTTGAAGGTCAAAGTGAACATTCCATGACTTTTTACAGAGTGCCATTAATATGGTATTATGTATTTGATGGAAGAGTTATCAACTGTTTATTTTACTATACATTGCTGATATTTAGTGGGAAGTCTGTGGTACAGGAGAGTAAATACACTGTACTAGATACAGTAATATTGAAAAAAAACCTCTATATATCTAAACTGTATGATTGACAAAAGTGTTTTTTCTTCTTCACGTGAACATCTCTTTGCACTCTGATTTGTCAGTCTAAATAATTCAGACAGATGTCATCAGTTCACAGACACATTCTGATTTCAAATACTTTTGCAATATATGTGATGTACTGTATACAACAGACTTGTACATTTTAGCTAAAGCTTGCCACATTTTGTGCAGATATACACAACAAATTACAGTGGGTGCTTCCAGCTCGTTGCCTTCAGTCTAGTCAGCAGTTCAAAATTAGTGAAAGTAACAAACAGCCTAAGTAGCTTTTCCAATGGACTGACCCTGTATTGAAAGAGGAATATTAATTCCTGTTCTTCCACTTAAGTGTTAAATAAAATGTAAATTTATTATTTTTTACTTTGTGTTATGTTTCTAATTTATAATTATGCAACTTTTTTTATGTTGTATAAGTAGGGAGGGGTGCAGTAGGTCTGGACTCCTACCTCCATTTTCTCCAGAAATCAATTATATTGTTTAATGTTGTATAAGCAGGTGAAGATCTAAAGGGGGGTCTGGGGGGAATCCTTTTTTGTTAGAAATAAATAAAAAAAAAAACAGTTTTTTTGAAGTTTTCTAAAACCAACATTATACAGTCCACTGTATAATACCAAATAATGAATTCAATGATATGTCTTAACATTATTCAAATTTCTAAGTTAATTTAGGTTGCTGTATGGTGAAGTAAAATAGACCTAAAACCCAATAAATATGAGCATCAATTAAAATATTGCCATGGTAAATTTTCATGTCTTGACTTTTTCCAGACATTCTGACAATATGTCTAGACTTTAAAGACTTGTTTTCTTCAAAGTTAGTATTGTTTTGAACACTTCTAACTCTTATAATATAGGCTAGTTGCAGAATCAATTTTTCATTGTTTAGATGTTAGGATTCTTGTGAGAAGGATGTTTTTTCCATTGTTTATGTCCAAAATAAGTGAAAATGGAAGTTGTTTGACTGTATAACAATTTCTTAAAAAGTTTTTGAAAACAGGAATCCTGCTTACAAACAACAAACACTATAATATCTTTTTCTAAACATGATTTTAAACAATTATAACTATTTAATTTCAGTTATGATATTTGAAATGTTTATTTTTAACTGTTTTTATTTTCATATTGGTAACATTACTAGAAATAAAATATATAAGAGCTTTGAAATTGATGGATTATAACCTGACTGAGCTAGTCATTTACCAAATGTATTAACTTTATTTTAAATTTGTTTGACTTAGGTTACTTTAGAAGTATATGGTAGACTAATTAATTCAAAATACAATATTATTTTAGTGGCAGTCTCTTTCCTCTCGTGAAAAATACTGAAAATTTGGTTACAGTGTTACCTAGCTGACTTTTAAAAGTTAACTGGTATCATACCATCATTGTAAAAAATTAAACATTAGTGTAGCTAGGATGGAGAAGTTAAACATTATTATTGTTTGTCAATCCTATAGCATTGGTTAGGGTCAAAGTGTGCCTACTCTGACCTTGTACAGAACACCATTCAATGTGGTATTATGAATTTGATGTCAGAGTTATCAACTTTCATCTTATCCTATAATGCTGATTTCACAACAGTTTATTGTTAGAGTAGCGAAAAGACCAGATACAATATAGAGGGACACTGAAAAACATTAGATATCCATCTAAAGGTTGTAGAGGTTATACAAGCTGTATGATGGACAAAAGTATTTTTATTTTTCACATAAACATCACCTTGCATCACTTCTCAGAGTGTAGGTCAGACTGACTTCGTTATTTCACAAATATATCTTTATTACAAAAACTTTGTTAACACATCTGACCTTTTGTGTACAACAAATTTATAATATTTACTAAAATCTTGCCACAAATTGAAGATACACTTCTCAAGTTCATAATTATAATCAACTTTACTTATCATGTATAAGGTTGGTCCATTGGACCAACCGCATAGACATTCAGTTCACATAATAATACAATATTATCTGAATATACTTTCTAGTTTTATTGTCATTCATTCACTAATAGTTTTCAAACTTTGTAAGAGAAACTTATAAATATTAAAAGTTTTATTTTATGAAATAAATTGATGTTATTTTAATTTTTTATGCTGCTTGACTATAAATTTAGGCTACTTGAAAAATATCTAAAAATTACTAGATTTTACTATGGCTAAGTATGAATTTGCCTACTAAATAAAATGTGTGTTATGATTATTAGTAACTCCAGAGAATATGTAGAATTATGCATGGACATTTCTCTATGTTAAAATATTTTTATTTGCAAGATTTAGGCCCTCTTACTGGATCCTTGATTGGACAACAATGTACGTTGCAGCACTAGGGTCTGGGGTTTGATTTCCTAGGATGGACGTGGCAGATGGTCCAACTTTGCTGTAACAAAACAAATTTACCTCATAAAATGATGTTCTAATCAACAGTAATCAACAAAGTCTTTAAATGACCTACATATATATATATATAAAATCAAAGAGTTGGCCACTTTGGGATAAGCTGCCTTGGATTTGTTTTCTCCTGTTGGTTTTTTGAGTGTGTGATGTTTGGCCTTTTTTGTGGTGGCTGAAAGGTCTTGGAGCAAATTTTTACTTTTTTCTCCATCCACAGATATTGTGATTCATGCTGGAAAGTTTACTTCTCAGTTACATGAAGTAAAAGTTGTGTCTTATCTGACACATTGTCGGAACTTCCTACTATTGTCTGCTTTTAACTCTTATTATAACAAAAACTAAACAGTAGTAAAATATTCGCTCACAAAATAATCAACAATATATAAACTAAACATTCTTTTATATCATGACACCATTGTTAAGCTGGGATTCAATATTTTTTCATTATATTCTTTGTGTAGATCACTTTATATCTAATAAGTATGTTAAAAATATCAATTCATAAACAATTTTTTTCTTCAAAAATTGTTGAAGTAGTTTTAGAATTATTATTGTTATTTAAAATTTGAAATTGTTATGCAGATGTACACTGAACATCTTAAAAGTGCTAGCTGGTTTGATATCCTTAGCCCATTAAGTGCTGCAGGAGCAGCTCAGTTGCCATTTTCTGACTCACAGTTGCCATCAATCACAATAAAATGGTAATTATCGTCATTCGCATAGAGTTATAGTTATATATGTACAACTGATGGATATTTCCATCATTCGCAGCTGAGCCATAGAACTTCAGTGATGGAAATATCCATCATCTGCAGTTAATGGGTTAAATAGGGATTAAATACTACCTAACCAATCCTACAGTTAATAGGTAGCCTCAACAGTCAGAACTCAATTGGGTGAACAGTTACCAGTCACAATAAAAATATACTTTTCCATGTAGTGCTACTGTCTAGTAATGGAAACTTGAACTACTTTTGTAAATAGTTACAATGCACCTGCTAGATGAAATCAGCATTTAGTTAGTAGATGAACAGCTCAGTTCATTCTAAGTCATTTCTTTGACCAAACCAGTGTCTAAAAGAATGGTCTGGAAGCTTCAAGAAATTTTGTTCTGTTGAGTCTTTAGATGTAAGAAGTATAATCAATATTGCTTTTTTATGTTGGTTCTATTT